TTATGTTGCCCAGTGGAATGACAGAGATCATCTAGTGGTGGAAAATCTTCATGCACTAGAAGGTGAGGGCCACTTATCTGTTAATAGCAGATATATTCAATGGTATAGGGTAGTGACCCGACGATGGCTGACTAAGAGGGCTGCTGAGGCATCACATGTGGTATGTTATTGTGCATATTATTTATTTTAACATATTTTTTAGGTAACCTTAATTCTTGATGTTTATGTGGAATACTTTTTTATAGACCGATCGTGTGGAGACTGTATACTACATGGTGCAAGAGCAGTCTCAGAGTGCTTTCTCGATGGAGTCTCTCCGTCATGAGGTGGAGCGGGCATTGAGTGCTGTCCATGAAGGAAATAGGATCACCGAGCCTGGAGAGGACTTGCCTCCACCGAGTGTCCGTCACACACAGCGACCCCCTCACGAGCCACACAGATCCCGACGGGCACGTATTGAGGGACATCCTTTACACCACACTCGGCCCTCAGTCACCGACCGACCTATATTTGTGCCTGTTCTTCCCCAGCGACCACCTGGGTTATTTTTTCCACCAGGCTTTCCTTCAGGGCCTTCGCAGCCGTACTATTGGCCATCTGGGCCTTTTTCGCAGTATTGTCCAGTCTCAGTTTATCCAGCTGCTTCTTCATTCGGAACACATGCCCATACAGCCCCTTCCAGTTCCCAGTACCATGGAGAGGCCAGTTCACAGGCAACCTTCATGGCCACACCGGCACCCTTGTGGCAGGGAGAGAGCAGCTCCCAGTCGAGTCAGGGCTTAGACGAGTTTGTTGAGGGATACAGGGTCTCACCCTTTCTTGTGACCCCTACACCTACACCTACAGCATATGCCACCAGCATCATGCAGGATGTTGGGGGCAGTTCCATTCCATCCTTTTCACGAGAGAGTCTTGAGCGAGCCTTGATGGAGGACCCCTTGCAGGACGTTATAGAAGGTGAGGTTAGACCAGCTGATCAGCACGGTGGTCTGCGGAGGAACCCTGAGAGAGAGGCCAGATTTAGATGTAACCTATCCCCATACGATCATGACCCGAGATTCTGCCATGGTGATCATGGACCCCATTGACATGTTGATTTATGTGTAGCATATTTTGGCTCATGTATGATGGCCATTTAGCTTATTATATACATTAGACATCATCGCATATATGTTTATTTTATTTTGGGTCGTGTACGTTGGACATTTATGTACATATTTATGGTTTGGTTATTTTGGATGATGTACGGTGGACATTAGGGTGGATGTGTTTATGGTTATGTTATTTTGGATGCTGTTATTGTCGTATATATAGTTAGGTTTATGGCATACTAATTGATGTTGTGTAAACATGTCGGCTTACTATTATATTATCGATTAAAACATTTACCCTTATTTTGCAACCAAAGGATGACTTAGATACGTGCAGTTACTAATTTATATAATAATAAACCTGCAAAGTTACATAGTATTTTAAACCGTGAATGCAACAGAAATTATGTCTGCTCAGTAGGTTGGCGTCTTGGACAATTACGCTTATTGTGGCCCACAACTCGACAATAACCACATCGCGTATGAATAGTTGACCCTTCACGAATGTCCATCTCGTTTTGTATACGAGTGCTTTTAGGCCTTCCTTTCTTACGCCGCATCAACACATTGGGAATCACAATTGGTCCCTGACTCTGTGGGATAAAATCCTCATTGCCGATTGGGTACCATTGCCCTGCGTATACCTTACATTGATATGCGGCAGTGTAAGCTGGATCAATATATTGCATTGGATCGTGATTTGTGGATGTGCATGCTGCTATAACATGACTACATGGGTATCTAAAAGCAGTAAATTCACCGCATTGACATGTTCGATCAGGTAATGAAACCGACCATTTCTTTCCACCACGATGAGTTCTTTGATTGTACGATTCTTGCACTTCAAATCGTGTCTTTTGAGGGTCATAAACTGTTACCCAGTGTGTTGCGGCATCTTGCTGATTTATCTCATACGCTTGCCAAAAGACTTTTGTGAAACGATTACCCCTGGTCATTTCATCACGTGCCTCTTGGCCGTGTGTCACAAAATATTCCACCAATCGGGCATATGTGAGCTGCACCAATGCCGTGATAGGAAGGTTTCTTCCGCCCTTAAGGACTTTATTAACACACTCTGACAAGTTTGTAGTCATGTGACCAAACCTTCTACCACCTTCATCGTATGCAATACTCCATTTCTCTTTAGGAATACGATCTATCCAGGCAGCTATTTGAGGTCCTGCTTCTTTAAATTTTTCCAAACCAGCGTCAAAATCTAACCGGCTAGTTGTATAACCTGCATAAAGTAAGTATGGCATAAGTGTGTGACATATCTGAACACCAAATAAAAACATTACAAGAATTGTAACATGTAAAGTTACCTAACTTCTTCAGTTGCTTCTTTAACATTATGTTCTTGAACTTATGGTTGAAATTACTACCAAGATGTCGTATACAATACACATGGTACGCTTTAGGTGGCTGCCATCCCAGTGCGGCATTGTTGACGGCAGATATAATGCCTGCATGTCGATCAGATATAAGACAAATGCCTTCTTTTTGTGTCACGTGCATTCGTATTAGGGCTAGAAACCACGTCCAGTCTTCAAGATTCTCCCTTTTTACCACGGCAAATGCAATGGGTAAAACGTAATTGTTTCCATCAACCGTAGTTGCTATTAATAGGGTCCCCCGATATTTACCATATAAGTGCGTGCCATCGATTTGGATCACAGGTTTGCAATAATTGAAGGCATCAGCACACTGTTTGAAAGTCCAAAAAACCCTGTCAAACACCTTTCGAGATTGATCCAACCGGTTGTCAATAAAATGATCATTAAGATCCAGCTTATATACAGCCCCAGGTGAAAATTTCAACATGTAGTCCAACCACCTTGGCAGAAAACCATATGATTCATCCCAATCCCCATAAATTTTGACAATTGCTTTTTGCTTTGCCTTCCAAGCCTTCCTGTATGATACATGAAATCCATGATTTGTTGCTATCCTTTCTTGGATAAGAGAAATTTTCACATTTGGCTCCTCCCTTATCATTTCTGCATTTTGGAAGTACAATTAGTTTATGATAACTTAGTTATATAATATCGCACATTATAATAAATATACATACCTAGAATCATTGAACATATGAAATTTGAATCCAGCTGCTTGTGGTCTTGAGAAAGAGTCTGGTTAACACAGTTATGTTCGTTAACCCACTTGCTGATAATCCATTCCGTCCCTCCCGTTTTAACGTGTGCCCTCACCCTCCACGGACAATTGTTGTTGTGAATTTCGCAAACCATGATTAATCTTTTCGTATCACTTTTACATACAATCGCGGTGTGGTGCTGCCCCATACAAAATTGTTTGATCGCCATCTGAACATCGTGCTTGTTGTCAAACACCTGGTCTTTATACAGTTCATGACCCATCTGCCAGTTAGGTGCTTGTGCTCCATCTATTTCTGGCAACTCCTGATCTGGGTGAGCCCAGTTAATACGCCTATAATGACTTATTTGAGCCCAAAATGGTGTCTGTCCTTCACCTGTATCAGCAGTGCATTAATAATGTATACAAATCAACATGAAGTATGTATAAGCACAATTTTTTTTTATATTTACTAACCTGCCACTCTGGGCTCGTGCGTTCCAACAATGCCCGGAGAAGGAACCGCATAACACACAGCAGTGGACAGACATGAATCAAAATCTCCATCCACGTCGGTGTCCGAAGAGTCACTGCCCGGGACTAACCCTTCGTCCACCTCTTCGTTGGAACTGTCAGTTCGCCATGCCGAATCATACATATCGTGAGCAACGTCATATTCAGCACACATTGGTTCGGGAAGGGGTGGTTCGGGTGACACATTTCTGTCTTCAGGACTCACAACTGGCTCCATGTTAATGTCAATAACGTTAATTGAAGGGAGAGAATATTGCGGACTCATAACCGGCTCAATATTAATGTCGATAGAGTTAGTGGAAGGGACAAAATGTTGACTGCTACACTGTCCACCGGAGTCTACTTCCGCGTATAGTTCAATAAATGTGGAGTGTGAATGATTCCGAAATGCATCTACCACTAAAGCTACATCTTCATCCTCAACGATCTCTACAGGAACCCAACTTTCAGGTCCAGAGGCACATCTAGCAGTCAACCGAGATAAAACTTGGCCTCGTTGTAATCTGAGCTTCTGATATATTGTCTTTTTTAGTTCATTAAAACTACACCGCGAGCTCATACGAAATATTTTCGTTTCTCCTTCGAAAACTTGGCCATTTGGACCCAAATATTTTCTCCCATTGTAATATAACAAAGCAATTACTGAATCATTACCGTCACTCATTTTCTAACTAATGACATAAAATTACAAGAGAATAATTAATTATAAAATCAGGAGATGTTTCATAAAATAAATAATAACATAAAATAACATAAAATTACTGAATCCTAACCTTCGCAATTTTGGCGCACCCTTTTTTACTTCTTCTGGTTACTGGATGTTTCATGTTTTGCTACTATTTATAGAAGAACCAAACCTGGTAGGCCGCTCAGCTAGAATAAGGGGGTGATGCCACGTGTATGGAAAGTACGACCAAACCAGCTAGGCAGACCAGCGCGATTCAGGGGGTGCTGACACGTGTCTGAAGGTACACCAAATCTAGCCTAGTTGCTCAGCGTGAATGGTGCTCTGCTGACACGTGGCCTGCTTTACTGAACGTACAACTAATACAGCTATACGGTCCAGCGCGAATGCTACGACGGTGACACGTGTCTTGCTTTTCAGAGCGTGCAGACTGGTTGATTGACAAACGATTCCAGCTTGTCAGAATAGCGAGAATGGGTCTCCATGGGTTAAACGCCACGTGTCATCTTTTAATCTAGCTTGGACTTGTAGTGGGATTAAGCGTGGCATTTTGGAAAAATCAAAATGGAGCGTGGCATATTGACAATTTTTTATTCAAAATGGGTTACTTTGGTCAAAGTCCCCAATATGTAGAGATTGAAAAAATTGTTAAAGAGATACTAAGTATATTGGATCAGAAAATTTCAAGTCTTCCAAATGACCTAGTTGGGATAGAATCTCCTATCGAAGAGTTAGAAAAGCTTTTACTTTTGAGGTCGGTTGACGATGTTCGGGTTGTAGGAATTTGTGGGATGGGAGGAATAGGAAAGACAACTCTTGCTTCAGTTTTGTGGGATAAAATCTCTGATCAATATGATGCTCGGTGTTTCATTGCTGATGTCAACAAGTCTGATCCATTTGATACACAAAAGCAAATTTTAGAACAAGCTCTTAATGAAGTAAACCTTAATATTTTCAATCCTTCTATGGCAGCTAATCTGATACGAAGTAGGCTGGGTCATGCAAGGACCCTTATAGTTCTTGATAATATTGGTCAAATTGAACAACTGGAGAAATTAGCTGTGAATCGTGAATGGTTAGGTGCGGGAAGTAGAATCATCATAACTTCTAGAGACTTGCATATCTTAAAAGCGTACGGAGTGGACCATGTTTACACAGTGGAACTCTTGAATGCTGATAATGCTCTTCAATTATTTTGCAAAAAGGCTTTCAAATGTGATATTATTAGGACAGGTTATGAAGTGTTGACATATGATGTACTAAAATATGCTAATGGCCTTCCACTAGCGGTTAAAGTATTGGGCTCATTTTTGTTTGGTCGAGATGTAGATGAGTGGAGAAGTGCATTGACTAGATTGAAAGAAAATCCAAATAAAGATATTATGAATGTGCTTCGAATAAGTTATGATGGACTAGAAGAAATTGAAAAAGAAATATTTCTAGATATTGCTTGTTTCTTCAAACAGCAGGAGGTGTATGAAGTTAAGAGAATCCTTAATTGTTGTGGATTTGAACCTGATATTGGGATAAGAGTTCTCTTTGATAAATCACTCATAACCATTTCGACTTATTATGCCGACTTTCCTCGTATTGAAATACATGATTTGTTGCAAGAGCTTGGTAGAAAAATAGTTCGAGGAGATTCACCCAGAGAGCCAGGAAAGTGGAGCAGGCTTTGGCTCTACAAAGATTTTTGCAAGGTTATGTTGGAGGAGAATACGGTAAAGTAGTTGTTTGAAAATAGAGAAATTTATATTTCCATTTTTATTGAAGTTGTATATATTTATTTAAAGTTACTTTTCTTTCATTTTTGCATTCCTGTAGGAAAATAACGTTGAAGCCATATTTGTGCGTGGTTACCCAGAAGCTAGTGCATTGATGGCTGAAGCATTGTCAAAAATGAGTCACCTTAGATCGCTCATACTCTATGGTGTAAATTTTTCTGGAAGCCTCAATTACCTTTTTGATAAGTTGCGATATGTTGAGTGGCGTAAATATCCTTTCATGTATTTGCCGTCAAGTTTTCAGCCGGATGAGCTTGTTGGATTGTGCTTGATGCATAGCAGCATCAAACAACTATGGGACGGCAAGAAGGTACTAGAAATTCTCTTTTTCATTATGCTTTTAGAAATATAAACTAAATCAAGAAAATAAATTCTCATTTTCTTTCCTTTTCTTTCTTTTGAAGTTAAATTAACGACAAGAAAGTAATTATCTTTATCCTTGTTGGTCTCAACAGCATATGCCCAGTTTGATAAGGCTGGATCTTAGCCACTCCAAAAATCTTACCAAGTTGCCAGATTTTGGAGAGCTCCCAAATCTTGAGCAGCTGACTCTTGAAGGATGTACAGAACTTGTGGAGATCGATCCATCCATTGGTCTTCTAAGAAAGCTTGCTCGCTTGATTTTGAAAAACTGCAAAAATCTCTTAAGTATACCCGACAACATAGTGGGTATCACTTCTCTTACATATCTAAATCTCCAAGGCTGTTCAAAACTGTTTAATAACCAGCTTGATATAAGTGCATCTACTCTGCACTCCCAATCAACGTCTTCCACCTTCAAAAGGTTTTTGATGCCTTCCTTGCCTAGCCTCTCTTGTTTGAGTTTTCTTAGTCTATGTTTTTGCAATCTACTGCAAATTCCTGATGCAATTGGAAGTTTACATAGCTTAGTAGCCCTTATGTTAACAGGAAACAATTTTGATAGACTGACTTGTAGCCTGAAAGAGCTTTCCAAGCTTAGACATTTAAACCTGTCACATTGCAAGCAGTTGGAATCTTTGCCTGAGTTCCCTTCACGTACGTATGTTCCAGTAAAATCTAATTTTAGGCAACTAATGTTATATATTTTCAACTGCCCAAATATGGGTGAGATGGAACGCTGCAGTTCCATGAGTTTTTCATGGATGATACAAGTCATTCAGGTGCGCACTCCTTCCTTCTCCCATCTCTCTCTTTACGTTTGTGTAATAAATAGTAGGAACTGAGATATAACTTTGTTTGTGGTACCAGGCGAGCCTAGAACCCTCTGTAAGCACTGGTTATATTGATATTGTTATTCCAGGAAGTGAAATACCAAGGTGGTTCCACAATCAGTGTGTGGGTAGCTCAATAAGCATAGAACCATCTCCCATTATGCATGACAATAATTGTATTGGTATTGCTTGCTGTGCGGTATTTGTGGCACGTCATGATCCAATAACTCTCAGAAATAAAACAAAAACCTATTTTAGAAATTGGGTTTAAATATAAAGCAGATGGGTTAATGGTCGTCAATGTGTTGCCTCTCGATGGAGAACTGGTCACGGTCGAATCAGATCATATGTGGCTATTCTATTTCAATCGCCAAAAAGCAATTGATTTTATGGGTCGTGCAGCTCGCAAAAAAAGGGAGACAAATGATCTTGAAGATATCAAGATGGCAGTTTTGTTTAAAGACGGCCAAGGTTTGCAGTTTGAGGTGAAGAATTGTGGGTATCATTGGTTATTTGAGAAGGATCTTGAACTATTTAAGAATATGCATGCCGGTAATTCGTCAGCTCAAAAGCGCAAGTTTTTAGCAATTGATGATGAGCCACAGTCATAATCATTGGGCTGATTAACTAAAAGCAGTGGCAACCCCATTTGGGCTGCAATTAAAATAAGGTGAGATGAAATGTTCATGGTCTTTTTATTTTTTTAAATTAAACCAGCTGATCTAAATAGTATTTGGTCTCTAAATTTATGAAACTCATTTCAACTTGATCCTTCTGTTAAGTGTCTTTGACCAAGTTTAATTGTGACTTCAAGGTAGCACTCAATGTTCCTAGCGAGAAGAACACAAGGACAAAATGGAGAAGGGATGCTAAACCTTACCTGCAAGATATTCATCCGTGTTCTCATCTACCCATGAGTCAGGAAATCATAAAAAGGGGAAGCGATGCCAATTCGGAAGAAGCTTGTAAAGGACAGAACATCTTGTAAATCAATTTTTTCTTCATTGTTGGGGTAGAGCAGAAGTTATGTTTCACGTTGTAGGTAGTTTTACATCCTAATATACCAATCAAGACTCAAGAGCTTAGATGAAATCAAGAGTATCCTTGTCTCAACTCTTGTGTCGCAAAGGCAATTGTCAGAGGAACTTCTTATATATGAGGAGAATAAGAAAGCTGGACACAGTTTGGAGTCAAAAGCTGTTATAATTCTCCTTGCAAGGTTTTGTAATATAAGAAATGTATATCTTCTACTTTCAACTATATAAGTAAGGGTTTTATAATTCTCGTTTAACATGAGAATTCAAATTTTGCTTGCACCCTTTGATTTCCGTGCTGATATGGGTTCTATATATAATTTTTTTTAACACCTGAGTCTCACGTGCTTTTTATCTCTACAACATAAGAATTGAATTCTTATTTAACGTAAGAAAATCAAACCCCTGTAACTAATTACCCGAGATTCTTAGGAGGAGTTCCATCAATTCAATGGAGAGTTGGCTGGGTTGCTTCTTCTACTTAGGCTTTGTTTGGCAGTTGTTATTTGGAGGGAAAGGAAATGGAAGTGAAGGTTTTGGTGATACCTCATTGTTTGAGTTTAAAATGAGTGAGGGGGAGGAAATTAGGAATCTTTACAAAACCCTCCAAAATCTTTATTCTGCCTAAAATTAAAGTTCCTCCCATATGGGATTTTAAGAGGTAAAAGTTTCGAAATTCTTGTTTACCCTCGCCATTAAAATCAAAATACCCTCTCTCTCTCCAAGCGTTTCTCTTCCAAAACCAAGCGTGCTTCGCCGCCGCCACAAATGGCGGCTTCCACCTCCCTCTTCTGCCGTGACTTCCTTTTTCTACTCTTCCGAGAGCTCCACCTATTTCTCCTTGGTTCTTGACCTCTACTTTAATGGCTGCATTCTAAGGTCCTTTCTTTGCTTTGAATTTTTGTTTAATTTTTTTTTTTTTTTTTGCTTTTGAATTTTTAGCTGATTAAGCTAGAAATTTCAAGAGTAGGATAGTTTCCAACTGATGCCTCTGTTTTTTTCCTATTAATTTGTGATTTCTTCTCCGACTAAATGTGTGTACACCAAGTGTTTGTGGAAATGTTGGAACACTATAGTGTTTGGATTGGTACTGTTGTTAAACTTTCGGCAGATTTATTTTTATTCTCAAGCATACACCATGTGTTTTTGAAAATGTTGGAACATTATGTTGTCTGGATTGGTACTATTATTAATTTATTTTTATTCACAAGCATATACCACCATGTGTTTGTGAAAATGTTGGAACATTATGTTGTCTGGATTGGTACTATTATTAATTTATTTTTATTCACAAGCATACAACACCATGTGTTTGTGAAGATATTGGAACCTTATGTTGTTTGGATTGGTATTGTTATTAGCCTTGTAGCAGATTTATTTCTATCCTCAAGCATAATAGCTACGTGCTTTGATTGCTGGAAGTTATGCAATGCCACATCTATATGTGTCCATTATGCTTTATTTTTATCTTTTTTATTTTCTAAGGAAGGAGCTTTAACAAGCACCAGGCTCTTCCTCTTTTATTTGGCATTATATATTTGTGTTTATTTATACTATACTCACTCAAACTAGACTTTTTCACTTGGTATGTGAAATGGTGTCTTTTTCTTATGAAGATGGACGCCCTGTTTTTGTCCAGTGAACATGTTTGCAGCTGAATTTAGTTGTTTCATATCTGGGTTATGTTCTATGTTGATGGTTGATTGTTTTTTTAAATGTACACTCGCTGATTTCTTACTTCTTAGCAGCCATATCCAAATTGAGGAATCACAGAAATGGCAACCAGAGGTCCAGAAGAGTATTCGCCAACAATTAGAGGTAATTCAGTTTTTCATATTTTGTATTAGATGACGCACAGAAGGATTCAGAATAGGAATTTTCCTGAACTTGAAGCTTCTCCTCTCCCACCTGTGTTAAGAATTTTATTCAGTACTTAAAAGAAATGGCATGGCAATACAAATACAAACAGATGCAGTTCTTATTTTTGCTAAACCCCTATAAGCAGTAGGACTAACTCAAGGTCCTTTCAAGAAAGGGAAATTAGCATTCCCATTATTCCATCTGTTTTAAGAGATGATCCCGTCTTCTCCAAAATCATAAAAATTTCCAAATGAGTTCACATCTATACGGACCTTTCTTGTTGCTCTAGGCAACTTATCACATTTTGTCACCACCATAGAAGATGGAACTTATCTTGAATAACTCCATATTAGGAATTTGTCTCTTTGTGTTTCTCCCTTTATCATTCATGAGTGTATGGTCTTGCTTTTTTATGGACGGAACTTTCTGTCTTGTTGTTTTCATCCATCTAGCTAGTTCCTTCCCAACAAATATTCTTGCATAGAATATTTGCATATCGATCTGTACTCCTATATATATATATATATATATATATATATATATATATATATATATATATATATATATGAGACAGGATCCTTTGACATCGGTGTCAAAAAAAAAGTTTGACACCTCATCTGAGAGCCGTTAGATTAAAAAAAATCAACGATTCTGATTTGTAAGCATGTGACACCATTGATTTTTTTTAATCTAACGGCTCTCAGATGAGGTGTCAAACTTTTTCTTTGACACCGGTGTCAAAGGATCCTGCCTCTATATATATATATATATATATAAGGGCAGGATATTTTTACACCAGTGTAAGAATTAGAAGTCTTACACTCAATCTTAATCATTGATCCACTTGTATCCAATGACTCACATTACTAAAAAATTAGAGTCCTTAGATATAAGTGAGATCAATGGTCAAGATAGAGAGTGTAATTTACACTGGTGTAAAATGATATTGACCCATATATATATCCTTGATAAAAGGAAAATCTATCTTTTCGTTTATGCAGAGGTGGCTTTCACCTTTTATTTCGCTGAACTTAGAAGCTACGCTGAGCACTGTATAGGGAAATAATGGTTTTCTATAAAAGATGAAGAATATTTACTTCCGTGAGTGACTGTGAGGCAATGTCATTTCCTCCATTAATTAATTAGTGTATATGCATGCATGGGTGATGCCTGTAATTTTGCATACTTTCATTAGAGGGAATTGCCTATATGTCTGTAGTTTCTCACTTTCAAAGCTATGCTTCAAGCAGGATGATTAGACTAGCAATCATAGTTTTTTTAAACTTGTGTGTTCCCAAGAGCCTCACAGTGAAAGAGTACGATGCTGATACACATTATTTGTTTTTTTCTTTCATAACTTCGTTAACAGTTAAAAGTATCGTAACTTTTTGTCTGTTTATCTCTGTCTAAAAGTCTTGATGAGAAAATGTCATCATACCTTACTCAACAACATTTCTTATTAAATGTATAAGGGTGCTTGGGTTACCTTGGTCTATGTACCATTCATGGATCAGATTTGGGTCGTGACAGAGTTGGTACCCTTATTAGCATATTATTACAATCATGCCCAAATATAGATGTCATTGAAGCAACATAAACTGCAAATATGGGTGTATTTCACGGCATAAAAGAAAGGAGCTACATGGAATCATTAATATCTCACACGAGAGAATTATGATGACATTCACTCGATTCAGAGGTAAATTATGAATGCGATTCAAAAGAAAAAAAATTTACCCGTGTAACTCCATTCAAACGCTTTCCAATACTAAATACTTACTCAAAGGATCCCTCAAAGAAAGAAAGAAATTGCTAGTGAGTTTAGGAATTGCAAGCCATTCAAAGAAGTCAATTAATTAAAAAATGGTATTAATCTATGACGTGGGCTCTAATGTCTTTCGTGAAGACATAAAATAGACAATATAGAGTTAACTTATACCAAATCAACCGTGCAAAAGAAAATAAATAAAGGGGAAGGATATTGTAACAATCAAGTTGTGTTACTATTATATTATTACCAATCAATTTCACTGTTAGATCGATTATATTGATTCAACGGTTATATTTATTTGGGTTAACACCCTCTGGTTCAAAAATTATCACTTATATCCATTGTGGTTTTACTATGTGTCATTTAACTCCCTAAATGACTAAAATATTCTCATAATATAAAATATCAAAAATACTCATATTTGGCCGGAAACTATTACTTGAAATCTCAATCTCTTCCTTAGTCCTTACCACTCACAGTATTGCACTTTCTTTGGACCCGGATTATGCAAGAAACACGTCTAGGAGATTTGTTGCTGGCGGTTTAACTGGGAATTTATATTTGAATTCAAAGAAATGGTTCGGCTATCGTGACCAGGTTTGTCAGATTCTTCTAATACTTAAAGCCGTAAATTCTTAGTTGTTCACTAGTACTCTTGTGTATTATTTTAACTATAAAAATATCCCATGAAAAAAAAAAAGATTTTGCACTCTGGTGAAGGTCCAATACATTCAGTGAAGTGGAGAACACGTCTTGTTGCTTGGGCAAATGATACATCCCGTGAATTGAAGGCTTTTGTTTAGTTCTTTAAACTGCTGTAATAGTGTTTTATTTGTCTGTCATATTATTTCTTGGTAAGACTGTTGTTGCTTAAGTTTCGTCCTTATTTTACAGGATGACACCCTCTTGGTTATTGGCTGGGGAACAAGCTATTTCATCTCAGGAATTGCCCCCTTTGGTGATGCTTTGGTTGTTCTAGCTTACATTCTTGGAGAAGATGATGGAGAAAGGAAGATAAAGAATCAATGGAAGAAATAGGGGACATTAAAAATTCCAATACTATTTCACTTGAATTAGAGATTCGAGTAATGAAGCTAGTGGGAGAAAGAGAAGTCCAGCAACCAAATCTGATGGTAGCTGTGTTAAGCAACCATATAGGAAATGATATGAATTTGTTTTTAGGAAAACCAAGTTGTAAAAAATGCATGACTTGAACAGCCAATATCAAAGTGACATGGACTCCACAAGTTCAAAAACATTAGATTTAAATTGCAGTTTAAGCTTTTGGGAACCATGAAGATGGTTTATTCTTTCTCGTTATGTGAACTTATGCAGTAAAATCATTATCAGAAAAAAAAAATCTGTTTATATAGTATGTATATTTTATTATAATGAAAAAAAAAAAACAATTGATTGTATATATGTTGGTTAAGAAAGCATCCAAGCACCTCAAAGTGTACCAAAAGAAGAAGGCATGCTCATCTGTTTATTCTACCCGTTACTTGTACGACTCCTCTGCAAAATTAGAATAAAGAAAGGGTATTAGGGTTTTAATTTTAATTAGGGATAATTTTGATATTTTAATTTTAATTTAATATTTTGTTTATTAGGGGTATTTTTGATATTTTGTATTATGAGGGTATTTTAGTCATTCAAGGGGTTAGACGACACATAGTGCAACCACAAGGGATATAAATGATAATTTTTAAACCACAAGGTGCTAAATGATACACACGCAAAGCACAATGGGTGAAAGTAAAGTTTTTTCTATTTATTTTCATCTTTGTATGGTTATGATTTTTCATATTTAAAGTGAAAGCATTAAATATGAAAAATCATAACCATACGAAGGTGGAAATAATATAAAGTATTAAATTTGGAAGATCACGACCATACAAAGATGGAAATAAATATAACATTTGGATCAACATAATCGATCTAACGGTGAGATTGATTGATAGTAACTTGGTAATAACACAACTTTGTTGTTACAATATCTTTTCCCATAAAACAATATATAAAAATGAAAATACACTACATGATCGTTTACATTACACATTTTCTATGAGTTTAAGGTGCTGTTTGGTACAAGAGTATCACAAAGATTACCGATAAACCTTTTTTGGTAAACATCGATTCTCACGTTTGGTAGAAGTATCAAAAATCAATTCCTGCATATCCAAGCTTTACCTAAAGCATTTTACAAAGTAAAATTACTGTTTGGATTACCAAAAATTAGGCGGTTTTCATAATTACTGAGGGAAGGGAAAGCAGATAACATAATTTTGAGACAATAATACCCCCAACCCACATCAAATTAGTAGGTCTGGTGTCATTGAAAAGTTAAGGTTAATTTTGTAAAATCAACATATATTATCAGTAATATTTTACTCACAACCAAATATATACTCAGTAAAATTAGTAAATATTCCCGATAATATTTACGTTTATCAAACAATTTTTTTATATCATTCTCGGAATATTAGATTTCTTTGTATATTACTGAATATCATGATTTCCGGACTCACAAAAAATTTTCTTGTACCAAACATACCCTAAGTGTTCTTTAGGATTTCTCTCCTGATTTGAACTCTTTACTAAGTTTCTTGTCCAGCTCAACAAACGTATAAGAACATTTCTTACAAGTTGACTGTTCTAAGTAATTAGCATAATTAAAAACATGTCCCATTCAAAGTCATTAGTATTAAAGAGAAACGGATGGGATAACTATAAGAAATCTTAGCAATACTTCAAGATGATTTATCATATTGTGAAATAATGTTACTATCATATTTTACTTGTTGATTTTTGTTAATAAGTGATTATTATTTTCACAAATCAAATTCATTAATTAATTATTAATTTGCAATAAATAATAACTATTAATCGACAAAAATCAACGGTTGATATATGATAGTAACATTAATAATAACATTATTTGATAGTAATAATATCCTATCCCAAGTAGGATAAATAAAATAATTCCTTTGTCGCATAGTGTAGACCAGTGTGTATTCATATTAGCTTTATATAAAATTTGAAGCGTTTCCCTTACGCTCAATATATTGTGAATTTATTTCAAAATATATATATATATATATATTATGAATTTATGAGCCCAACTTCACCGCACGGGAAGTTGGGAAAGTTGTTGGGAATTTCAATTCCTCTCGTACTAATTGTTGAAAATTTAATGATATACTTTGATATCACTTGTAAGAGATGAAATAAGAAGAACAATATTATTACATCAAACTTTTACATAGATAAAATACAATACAAAACACTAAACACAAGTGTTACAACACCATGACTAATTTTTTCTCTCAAAGATAACTCTTTCTCAAACTCTTTTTTATTCTCTCTAACAATATTTCAATACTATTTTTCTCACACATCTCTTTCTATTTTTCCTCTCAAGTGCTGCGGCACATTTGCTTATGCATTTCTTCTCTCTTTTTCAATTCTATTAACACACATACATACTAAACTACAACAGACACCTATATATATAGTTTTAGCAACCGACATTTTTTCTCTTGCTTGCTTTGCCGACTTTGTTTCCTATATAATATTCTCAATCTTTTATAATAGTCATATAAAATGACAACTTTCTACAACTTTCATATTTTGTTAGATAAATTCATGTTAGTAACCGACTTGATTTTGCTTGCTTTGGTAGCCACAAATTCCAACTGCCTTTGACTATTTTTGTTTTCATATTTGACGAGATACTTCTAGATGAGCAAATGAGGTGGCAAAGACTAATTTGATTTCTAAGAGAAGTCACCCAAGTGGCGAAGTCTGGGATTGATTTATATATGTTAACTACCCACACTTTTTATTATCATCCTCAACAAGTTTGCTTCGGCTTTTGCAATTGTAGTTTAATGGCTTCATCATCCTCAACAACAACAACAAACACTTCTTCATCTCAGATAACTTGGAAATATGATGTGTTTGTCAGCTTCAGAGGTATGGACACACGCAACAACTTCACTGATCATCTTTTTGCGGCTCTCCAAAGAAAAAACATTGTTGCCTTCAGGGATGACTCAAATCTCGAGAAAGGTGAATCCATATATAGCACCTGAGCTCCTACAAGCAATTGAAGGGTCTCGAATTTTTATTGTTGTCTTCTCAAAAAACTATGCTTCCTCAACATGGTGCTTGCGTGAACTCGCTAAGATCTTGGATTGTGTTCAAGCAACAGAAAAACGTGTTCCGCCTATTTTTTATGATGTTGATCCATCTGAGGTGCGAAAACAAAGTGGTACTTATGAGAAAGCCTTTGTCGAGCATGAAGAGAGATTCAGACAAGATTTAGAGATGATAATGGAAGTGCAAAGATGGAGAGAAGCTCTGACACAAGTGGCCAATCTCTCTGGTTGGGATATACAGGATAAGTAAGTTATCTTCTCTGAAATTGATTGTTTCTTATAGATGATTTTCTGTTCATGGATTTACTTTTCCTTTTCAAACAAGAAATTAGAGAGATTTTTTGTTTTGGTCGTTGACTTTTTTCCTTCACTTTTTTTTTTTTTTTTTTAAATTTCAGGCCACAAAATGCAGAGATTGAAAAAATTGTTAAAGATATAATAAGTATATTGGATCAGAAAATTTCAAGTATTCCAAATGATTTAGTTGGGATGGAATCTCTTGTAGAAGAATTAGAGAAGCTTTTACTCTTGAGCAAGGTTGAAGATGTTAGGGTTGTAGGAATTTATGGGATGGGTGGAATAGGAAAGACAACTCTTGCTACAGTTTTGTGGGATAAAATCTCTAGTCAATTTGATGCTCGATGCTTTATTGCTGATGTATGCAAGTCTGATCCAATTGATACACAAAGGCAACTTCTGCAGCAAGCTCTAAATGAAGAAAACCTTCATAGATTCAATCCTTCCATTGCAGCTGATTTGATAAGACGTAGGTTACATCATGTAAAGGCCCTTTTAATTCTTGATAATGTTGATCAAGTTGAACAAATGGATAAACTAGGTGTGAAGCCTGAATGGTTAGGTGCAGGGAGTAGAATCATCATAACTTCTAGAGACTTGCATATTTTAAGAGAGTATGGGGTAGACGATGTTTACACCGTTGAACTATTGAATGGTGATAATGCTCTTAAAATATTTTGTAAAAGAGCTTTCAAATGTGATGATATTAGCGGAGGTTACCAAGAGTTGACACTTGTCATATTAAGTTATGCCAATGGCCTTCCACTAGCAATTAAAGTATTGGGCTCATTTTTGTTTGGTCGATGTATCTCTGAGTGGAGAAGTGCACATGTTAGATTGAGAAAAAATCCAAGGAAAGATATCATGGATGTGCTCCGAATAAGTTATGATGGACTTGAAGAAATGGAAAAAAAATATATTTCTTGATATTGCTTGTTTCTTCAAGGGGAAGAGGGTGACCTATGTTATGAGATACCTAAATTATTGTGGATTTGAACCTGATATTGGAATAAAAGTTCTCGTTGATAAATCACTCTTAACAATTGTGTATCATTACCTTGACTTTCCTCAAATTGAAATGCATGATCTGTTGCAAGAGCTAGGCAAAAATATAGTTCGAGGACACTCACCCATGGAGCCAAGAAACTGGAGCAGGCTTTGGGACTACAAAGATTTCTTCAAGGTTATGCTGGACGAGAAAATGGTAAAGTTGTTTGAAAACAGAGAACATTATATTAGCACTTTTTTATTATAAACTATCTATACATTTAAAGTTATTTTTATTTTTCATTTTGCATTCCTTTAGGAAAATAATAAGGTTGAAGCCATAGTTATAAACAATAGAGAAGAAACTCCAGGTTTGATGGCAGCAGCGTTGTCAAAAATGAGTCATATAATAACCCTTACTAGTAATTGTGGATATAATATCGAAGAATAATTAGAAGTAAAAGAAATAAAGTCACATTTGGTGAAAAAGGAGTTAAAATGACAGTTAAGGAGTAAAAATGCGGGTAAATAAAGTTACCCGAAAGTAAAAAGTAAAATTATAAATTTTAGCATAAAAATATTCTGGACTAGTGTGCAAAGTTTAGTAATGAATGGAGGTGTGTAGATAGATAAACCTTTACCCAGTTAAAATAAATTAACTTTATAAAAGCCATAACTCCCTTTAAAGTTCTCTCTCATGCGTTGCTTTTCTTCATTCTTCTCGTCATTCCCGTGGTTGTCTCACATGGAAGGTTTGGCTTAGGTTTCATTTTGTTTTCTTCCTTCCTTCCATTCTCACTCATTTGATCATCAAAAAGCTTTATGCTACACATGAAACTCAT